AGGGTCGCAATTATGTGCCCGCCCCCACTATTCCTCCTCCCCCCCCCCCCCCCCCCCCCCCCCCCCACCCTGCATCCCCACCTCCCATTTGCCAGGGAGTGCAGCTGAACTTCAATCAAGACGGCACTGTTATTAATCCCCCGTTAGCCAGTGTATAGCCACGTGATTCCCCCTGCCTCTGTTCTCATCTGATTACTCCTTCCCCGGCTCAGCCCCTCACAATTAAATGCTGCTTAGGACACCAGAGGGGGTTTAAAGGGGTAGGGGAGGATGGCAGCAGGAAGGGATGGAGGAGGAATAGTGGGGGCGGGCACATAATTGCGACCCTCCAAGATCAGAGATCAGCAGCAGTTTGACAGAAACTATAAGCTGCCCGGCTCCAAACGACAGCCTGCCTGTGGCAAGGCTCTCCCCAGATTATTGCAACTGTCAGCAAATAGTGTCATGTTACATCCCAGTTGTTTTCTTGTTTTATTTTCTACCGCATATCCAGCTTCCATTTGTTCCAATTATGCAGAGACAGCTGCTATTTTTGTGTGTCTCATTCATATTCCCATTCTTGGCTGTCTGGATTAGATTTCTTGTGTTTGACAAGCCCAAAGATGCCTCCTAGGTGCCTTTTCACTCAACTGCGGCTGCATGGATGGGTCCCTCCCTCTCTGGAAGAATCCGAAATAAAAAGACAGCAGCACAGCCACACAAAAAGCCCTGACAGTTTGCTGTCACTCAGCAGTGAGGCACTCAAAGCATCTGTCATTCTGTTAGTCAGCAAAGCAATTTATTCCTCAGGTAGTGCCCTGTTAAAATACGACTTCATTCACTGACATATTCTACTATACAGGTACGTAATCTGCAGGCTACGAAGCTTCCGGCCTACACGAGAACAGGCAGCTGTCAGCCAGTAATGACCACTAGTCTGGATATAAAAACAATGAAGAGTGGAAATAATAGAGCGGCTACTATTAATCCTTCTGCTTTTCCCCCTCACGGAACACAAAGTCTGTTTCTATGCAAGGGGGGGTTGTTTTGCGTTTAAAGATTTAACTGTGTGTGTGTGTGTGGGTGCACACATCAATGTTTAAAGGTTTTATAATAATTTCACTGAATTTCACTTTGAATTGATGGTTAATCATTTAATTTATTTCAAGAGCACAGTCTCATACAAAAGTAATAATTTCCCCACTGTACAGACCAAGTAATAAAAAATTAATAATATTAAAACACAGATACACACACACACACACACACACACACACACTAACACAAACACATGAAGGCTACATAAAAAGCTTAAGTGCACAGATCACTCTTGGGTCTATTCAGTGTTGGTGCAAACCTTGCTGAAGAGGGTGTAGGTCTATTGGTGTTGAAAATCGGGTATTTTCAAATTTGGTGCTTCTAAAAAAAAAGCATTTTGCATTGCGGCGAGGCCAAGAACATGGTTGGTTTTCTTAGTTCATGAAATTTGGAAATACGTGGTTTTTAAAAGGACAGTGACGTTCTGTGAGCAAAGAAGTGAGAGGTTATACATTTTTGACAACTTTTAATATTTCCTTGATTACATTTGATTACATACAACAAATAAACCTCCCTGAATGTGTTTATGCTCGTGTGTGTGTGTGTGTGTGTGAGACCTTGAATTCATGTCTCTTAAAAGTCTAAGTTCCCCTCCAATCAGCCACCCACGTTGTGAGGCCCATAAATAACATGGCAGCCATACACACAATCATTGCTCATTTCAATGTGGAATAATAAGCATGCTCTCACAGTTGCTGTCCATCGGCAGTCTGGCTGCACAGCCTTTCGAGTCCGTTTGCCTTCATACTATCCATTCAATTAATGTGATTCGTGTGATGAAAGGGGAAAAAAATACAGAGAAAGTGCTCCAAAGCTGGGAAAAATTGTCCTTTTCAGTTTGCTGCAGTGTTGTCCTCCACTGAAAAATGTCAGCATCATGTAGTCTTCAATATTGGTGGTACACTTGGTAGAGCAGGGGGACGACAGACAGAGCATATAGCCTTATTGTGACCTTACCCGCCGCCTGTTTTGAGTCCTTTAGCAGGCCGACTGCCTATCGAGAAGCAGACACACTTCAGCGTGTGTCTGCTGAACTTTACAGCTACTGCTGATAGTTTCCTGGTTGAATTCCTTCGAGCGGAGACAGAGAGAAAGACAGTCACAGCGAGAGAGAGAGAGAAAGCGCTGAACACCTTACATAACTTGGTGGAAAAGATAGATGTAAAAGCAGTGCTTTGAAAGGCAAAAGAACCCCATGTCTGTCAAAATGTCCTGTGCAAAATGGCTTTTCCTTAATGCGTCTGGCACTTGGGAACTTTCTTTAACCACCTGGACAGCACAAATGCATAGTTTGGAAAGGATTATATGTGTTTGCATCACTGTGTTTGGCTACGTATTCACACAGAGTGAAAATGAGAAGTTCCCTCAGAACACAGTGTTCTTTTTTGCTGTATTAAATATGGAACTGAGCAGATGCTGTCTTCCCTGAAGTGTCCAGTGTCACGCTGGTGATAATCCTCAGGGCTTCGGCACTTTGTGTGTGTGTGTGTGTGTGTGTGTGTGTGTGTGTGCACAGCAGTGTCTTTCCCGGCCTCTCATGTATATTTTTGTGTTGTTTGCTTTTGGATTCCCCTCCGCCGCGCTTTTCATCCTTGAACAACGCGTCAGTCAGGTGCTCTCTGAGGACTAGATTGAGAGAGGAAGATAGAGAGACGTGGGGACACCAAGAAAGAGTCAAAGACAGACAGAGAAAAAAGGGGAGGAAGACAGGGAGTTTTGAAAGACTTCTAACTTCCAAGCTGACTGTCATAGCTGTGCTTGCCAGAGGGGAGAGCACCTTTAAGCATACTGGATGAGTGACGATGTGGAGGGACTACAAAAGCAAAGTAATACATAATAAGCAGCGCTCGCTCTGCTCTGCTCCTCTGCCAGCTAACCTACATGAGATTGGTGTTGAGAGAAAATTTGGAAGTGCATGAAAGGTCAGCAAGGGCCTTGTGTAAAAATGGGACTCTCCTTTAACACTCTGCACACATTCTAATAGGATTTAGAAAGCACGGACATAACAGATTGGGATGTTGGCCTCGACAACAAAAACAGACGATGTCAAGACTAAATCAACACATGGCAAAATGTTTTACATACTGTAGGTAACCTCGGTTGTACTCGCGCAATAATTCATGCCGCCACTTCAGGTTATACACCTGCTTCTCGTTTATGCTGCGGAATAAATAAACAAATGCATATTTCTCTGCTGGTTTAGTTTGAAAAGTACATTAAAGAGATCATCGTCGAAATAGTTGACTCATTTTTCTTTCTTTAGTGCCACTCATCTTTTGACTGCATTCCCAGTCCTGTTTCCCTCATTAAGCCCGAGAGGCATTTCCGCTGGCATCGATGATAAAAGAAAATCGAGAAATATGACTGTGTGATGTTGTACGAGTGCAGAGCATTGCCTGCTGTTTGAACACAATGCCCTGTGCTTTGTTTTGTAGCACCACCCAGAAGTCAAACATTAGGGTGTTTGCGCCCGTGTTGACAGACAGCCAGACTTCGCAGTGTTGGGCCAAAACCAACTGCCTGTATATCCTTGCAGGGATGGGCCGTGAAAGCCCCGCTCGGTTTGTCCTTCCCAACAGGGTTATACGTGCGGACAGCCAAGCAGGTGAATCATTACTTTGTCGTAATTTATCATAGAGTTAAGTATGAAGCTAAGGCACCTCAGCTCAACTTAGTTCAGGTTTCAAGTCTGCACCACATAGCATAGCTCCGTAATCTTTTCATTGAACACAAGCAGAAAGAGTAATGGGTCCTCTGCCCGCTTCCTCTCTTCAGCTCTCCCCTTCTTAGGATGCAGGACGGCTACTTTGTAGTCACATCATTATGTAGAAATGATAATTATGCCCCAGTGGAAGCTAGCTTCACCAAAATGTATTAGAGCCCTCAGTCACATCCACTGATAATCACTTCGTGACTGTTATTTTCAGATTTTTAATTTTCAGTAAGAATTTGAGTGAGACAGATGTAAAGAAAAAAAGTTTTTATTTTGCTTCATCCTCATACACAACGAGCCTAAAAATGGAAGACAGGCGGAAGTTAATCATTAAAGTCGATGTTTTTGCTGAATTTGACATCACAGTTGAGTCAAATAAGAAGAGGAATAAGTACACAGAGAGACAATGAGACGTGACTGTGCTCACATCCCAGTTTAGTCATAACACTCTGAACTCGAGGGTGCACTCACCGAAAAAAACCCATTATTCACAACCATTAAGATGATAATTGGGCTTTTGGTGCTGCAGTAGCCTTTCAAGTGTGCTGCAGGGAGGGTCTGCAGACGTGCTACAGGAAAACTGGCAAAGTCAATGATGGATTAAACTCAAAACTGAATGCAGTGCTACTCATGCTACACTTGAAATTAAACTGCAGCTTACTGTTGATGTTTCCAAAAACAGAAGCAAGAACTCTTTCCATTTTACTAATTTCCTGTTCTTCCTTTGAGCGCGTAGAGGGCCTGCAGGAAGTGGAAAGAAACGACCCACAGTGGAATTGTTTGTCAGTGGGATGGGTTTGTGTTTGCTTTCAAGGCTGCCCAACAATGCTGGGAGGAGGAGGAGAGGGATTTGGCCGACTAAATCCAGGTCAGACATAGTCAGATTACCCCCTGATCTGGCCCGGAAAATTCCACAATCCAACATACTAATGGGAAGACGCTCAGTGCTTGATTGAGGGTAAAAAAAAATAAAAAAAAGACAATAACTTTATTCTTTAAAAAAAGTAAATTGTATATTTGTTGCGTGCAGATACAATACAGAGACACAAAAACATCATATGTACATGAGTGAAATTAAAAACATTTCACAATTCACAATAGTAAAAATGCAGCATGATAAGTATGCTTAGTTTGAGCGCTTTAGTCAAATAAGTGGGGCTGTTGCAGAGGTTCGGTTGATTTGTACTTAGTGTGTCGCGGATTTTAAACCGAGGGAGATTTAAACTAACCCTGAGATGTGGAGGGATTGAAGAAAATGGCAACCAAACACAATTAAAGTCAACTGTTTTTTTGGGGGGGGGGGGCGACGACGACGACGACTTTACTGGTAGAAAGGATTTACTTCAAAGCCTCCCAAAATGATGCAGAGAAAGTCAAATGGGTCTAACAAAAGAGAATATACTCAGGGGAGTCATCCAAGAAGTAAATAGGCGAAACCACAACAGCCACCATCTACGTCTTCATTATCACCGTTACCAGGGCTATAATTACCAAGTGCACACACTGCTTCCTGAAATGTTCCTCTGGAAAATAAAAAAAGACTGCATTTGGAGTAACATCAGTCTTCGTTTCTTTGGTAGAGCTGCTGTGGATGAAGTTAAAGTTTCAGCAATCCTATCTGGAAAAGCACAGCGCTTATTACACGGCTCAATTTCCAATTCTCTCACAGGTACGCACACACAAACACACACACGCAGAATACAAAATGAGGCCGCAGCACAAAACAATCTCCCAGACAGACTCAGCGATACAAAAACACAGACAAAAAGGAAAGACATCTTATTATGAGAGTGTTCGGGAGGGATAGTCACTATTCATATTGTCCTTTAAAGAAAGAAACAGCAGCTTGCACTCCATTATAATGACTTGCATTGCGCAAACATAGATGCTTATCTCCATCACATTACATGAGGCTGCTGTCTGGCGAAATGGAGAGAGGCTGCTCGACAGAGACGGGCTCCGGGCCATTATACCGCCCCAGAACAGGGAGCTGTGATTGCAGTGGGAGAGTACAATCAGGTACTGTGTTTGTCTCTGGTCTAATCTCTATACACTGCCCGGCCCTTTTCATAAACGCAGAGCTGCGGTTTTTCGTCCATCCTTTCATCCGACTGCTCACGGGGAGCCTTTTTAGTTCAAATCTGTCAGAATTCAAACCAGAGTTTTAGTGCCTTTTGGATAAACCCGACACAACGCCGATAAATCTGAAACACAGCTGACCCTGGGCTCCAACATCTATTATGACGAGTAGTTCGTCTGTGATCGCTCTTTATTCCTCTCTGACAAATTGCCAGAGAAACCTTTGCGGCTGGTGCCACATTGTGCTGCTTCTCTGCTGCGATTATGACATTTATAGACACAAAGTTGGGAGGTTTATTTTTCCCCACCCGAGCAGATGAGCCAGCAACACATTCAACAATATGCAGCACAATCACATTCCTTCATGTTTATGGTCCCTCTATGACCTAAATACCTCATCTTTGTGGTGGTGGCTATAAACCAGACTATAAAAAACAAACAAAACAACTGGGTTTATAGGTGCCTTCTAAACAAAAGGCCTGGCCTCTCTACAAAGTAAAGTTCAGTGCATGACGGTAAAAGCTGTAAAATGCAGGCTAAGCAGGATTAATCAACTGCCGTGTTTCACATGGTTTCATTATTGCAGGAAAGTACAGTACAGCGCTTGTTCAGCATTGAGTGCAATACTACTTTTAGAAAAAAATAAAATAAAATAAATTCCCTTCTTTATTCTTTGGAATAGACAGAAATTCCCTTTCGTTCCTCTCCTGGTGCCCCCCCCCCCCCCAAAACCATTTTGGTCCATTAAAAGCTGCTCACAGAGATATGACTGAGCAGAGTGCCCTTGGAATGAAGACACAAATGTGTGTTTCTTTTTCAAGGCACAGTTGTCAAGGCTCCTATCGCTGACTATACTTATAAGAGCGAGAAGTTTTACATTCACTTAAAAAAAAAACATCAGCTGGGTTTTGTTTACTGTGGAATAACACAAAGACAATCCGGCTGGAGAAGAAACAGACTTTGGACTAACTAGACGAGATACAAAAAAATTCAGTGTCACAGTAACGGCTGAAAGGCGCACACACACACACACACACACACACAGAGCAACAAAAGACCAATAAAAATGTTAATGATTGTCACCTTTAAAAAAATAAAATCTTGCAAGGTGGTACATGAGGGGTGACGAGAGGTAAAGGTGCCTGATGAAGAGTAGAGGTCAGAGGTTCCCCTCGTCAAGCATCTTGTTGATCCCGTTACAGATCCTCTGCAGGTGGGCGCGATACACCTCGGAGGGTCCGTAGAGAGACGCCAGGAAGTCGCAGTCGGCGAAGTGATTGAACACGTGGTTGACTCTCGAGTGGCTCTTGGCTGTCAGGTGGCGTTTGATGGCCTGGTGCAGCAGCTCACGACAATCATTCAAAATGGCGCTCATGATGCGGCGGTCAAAGGTGAACTCGATCTGGTGGAAACTGACCGCCGTCATGGCCAGAGTGTGGACTTTCTTCCTGTGAGACGAGAAAGAGAGGCTGTCACTTTCTAAATTCTGACTGGAGCAGCAAAAGGAAGTAAAAATAGAAACTGCTGTCCTGTGACTTTCTTCAGAAAAGTTTCACAACCTCCCCTCTATCAGCTCTAGTGTTGTCCTCCGCAGCGATGCATCTCTGTGCTAATATGTAATCGCCATTCTCCATACTGTGCACTTGTGTCAGCTTCACATGCCTCCAAGCTGAGTTTTACTATTTTAGTGTAAAATATATAAACTGATGTAAAAGTCAATTTCCTTAATTTGCTCCCATCAGCATACAAAAATGTAATTGAGCTGCAGTTGTCCCCACTTGAAGCTCTCAACCAGAACAATGCGGTTTCTCAAGGTCTGTCCCCTTTCAATACGTAATGTAACAATAACTAAATATAAAGTAGGGTGTCACCGATGCACTTAATTCAAACCTTTTAGGAAATAGATAAAAAGATTAGTAAAAGACAAGAAGATACTTCCTTCATATCTAGACGCTGCACAGACATGCCGATTAACAACATCTTATCTGTCAAGCAATAGTTCCAGCATGCAACTTCCTCAAACCACATTTGTGTTCAGATCAAACAAACAAGATCAGCTTTATTGTTCGTAGGTGAACATCTGAAATTTGGAGATAGCTAGGCTAGCCGTTGCTTCCTGTCTTCATGCTAAGCTAATTGCTACCTGGCTCTTGCCCTGTACTAAATGCACCTGCATGAGAGCGGAGTTGATCTTCTCATGGCAAAAGAAGGCAAAGAAACGTTGAAACATTCCTGTAATGCCTCTTGCTGCCTACCTGAAGTTGTCCACCAGGATCAGCTCCTCGCCGTTGAACTGGTTGTTTCTGTAGAGCACTCCCAGCTTCACCACCATCTTGATCAAGTTCTTGATGATCTTCTGGGACTCTTTGCGGTTGCGGGTGTACTCCTTTGTGACGCGGTACAGGTCGTCCAGCACCTCGCTGCTGGTGTCGTCGATGAAGAGGTTGGCAATGCTCTTGGTGGCCATCTTGCTCATCAGCTTCTTCTGCGCCTGCAGGGCTAAGCTCTTGGTGCTGAAGGAGTCCATGGTCAAGTCTGGGGGGAGATGAGAAGGAGAGAAAAAAAGATTAGGATTGTAATGGATGGACACATTTCCTTTCCTTTTGCAAATGACTGAAAACATGTTTGCTTCCGAATTATTTTCTTCTTTTACAGGTGACAGCAGATCAGACTTTCTCATCGCAAACACAAGAGAGGCCAAACATCACTCACCGACAGCCTGCAATGTGTGAAGTTATTGCAAATAACATCTACGCTAATACCGTTTAAACTGCCGGGCAGAGAACCGTCCCCTTTATCGGATAATGAGCTGTGGCAGCTGTCAAATTAGCCCCAGCAACCCTCTGGCCCGGAGCTTACAAGGTAGTTAGAGAAGAACGTGTCGTTACGCGAGCAGGAGTAAAGTCGGGTACAGCTCGACCACGCAGAGCAGAGTGTGTAATCTCGACGTTTCGTCTGCCGAATGCATTCGGAGAACACGGTGTGTGTGTGTGTGTGTGTGTGTGTGAAGGTGAGCAGGAGACAAACAGTGCAGACTTATTCATCGCACTCATGTTGTTTTATTGATCCACGATGTTGTTTCTGAGCTTGTGTGCCTAAGCAAGAGTGGCTCAGTGAAAGGCTGGCCCCTCATGAATAGTGAGGTTCACGGGGGCCACAGGCTTTCACCCCCCCCCC